GTTGTTTGTGATCAGATCCTTTTGGGGAGATCTTTATGCATTTGTCAGATTCCCACCTCCTTGTGTTCCGAAATGCCTGATAACGTGTATCATATATGCCATTCACGAGCTCATTCTATACACTAATGGCTCTCAAATGGCTCACGAATGCTCTCGCTCTCCATACTGAAATCATTGTGGACCTGCGCGTAAGGCTATTTAGAGCCGCGCTGGCTCCAAAAGGCCTCGGCGCTGAAATAAGTACGAGAATCGTGATCGGAGCCATCAGTTATTCCTGAACTGAACATGTGCAGTAGTGGCTATCGTTGACCTCTAGAAGCCGCTATCCAACTCGCTATCTGGAACTTTCCCTTTACTAGTATATAAACTCATGATTAGCTGCTACAAGTATCAAAAAAAGAAGGACACATATATACTGCACACCATTTACACCTGAAAAAAAGTAAAGAAAAACAAGTTCATTTTCTCGTGGCAGGGGTAACGAGGTCTTCATAAAAGCCTAGACAGTAAAAGTTGGAAAAGGTACGGGATGCTCGTTTAGGTGCTCTGGAGCTAACATTTCGTTCTCCAGAAACGTATGACTTTTGGAATGAAAATTTATGACGGTTGGTCTCGCCTCTGGCCTACATGGCTACGGAGGTGTGAGAGGTGTCGCTGCCATCTAAATGGTCGATCCACTAACAGCAGAAAGGTTCGAGAACTTTTTTCAGGCTGAAACCTTCGCATACTGGGATAGTTGTTAACCATGATCACGATTCTGACACTTGTTTTCGGCGCGGAGGCCTCTTGGGACCAGCATGGCTAAATAGCCACCGCGTGCAGGAAGGAAGGCTGTGGGAAGCAGTAGAGACTTCAATGTAGCTCACCACATGCCAAGTAGAAAACATGGATTTTGACCCTTATTTCGGCTGTTTTTTCGATGACAGAAATTACTATACACCTCCGTTAAAGCTGGAACAGAAATGAATACGGGGTTGAAATCATCCTTCTCTGTGTAATTCTCTTCACTCCCTTTTTGACATTCCCAATAACGTTAGCAGGAAATGAACAATCCCATTTTTGTGGTCCATGTATGGACTCCTACATCATGCAACAAACCGTTTTCAAAAAGCTCAAGATGACCTAAACGACCTCCCTTTTTAGCCGAAATTAATAAACAACGGTTTCTCTCCGACCAGCAAGTCAACAAACCAGCAGTCATGCTTGAAGCTGCCTAACCGGAGAGAGGTGGGCCATGACTGCCGGTCCACCTTTCTCCGATCTCCGAAACCTCGGAAAAAGCGGGCTGCGTCCCTGATCTACGATCCGTCACGAAAGTGCGAGAGCTCCAGAATCCCCCCTCTCTCTCAATTGCGTGTGGACTCCAAGCATCGCTATTTCGTTGAATGACGCCCAATTCGCTCTTTCGGTGGCGCGTTGAATGACACGTTGGAGGACTTGGACTGTGAGGAGGCACGGCGCTCACCTCCTTTCGTAGAGTCCAAGTCTCCAAGACGGTTACATTAGGATAGGAAGACCACAAGAATTGAAGAGGGCTACCGGAGCGCGTCCGCGTGCTTTATTTTGTCTCCTTGTTATTTGTTCTCCTTGAAAAGCTCTCCATGCCGTCTCAATCCTTCTCTGCTTCAGCTCTGGCTGCATTTTCGATTCATATGGATTTTACCTCACTTCATTGGTTAGACGCAGTAGCAATCACAGATGCGCGTTCCACGCCAGAATGGGCAACAGAGACCAGTCTGTTCATCGTGAGCATCCCCTTCGTCAGCTGAGCTGCAAACCGCGTTTTTCACGCAGACAGCTGAAATCAACCAACATTCTCTCTTGATCGATGTCTGGTTGCATTAGCACATCGTTGTCAGCAAAGCGAGTAGCGAAGTCAAGAGTTAGGCAGACTGCTGGCGGTCGATCTTCACCCCCCCACATCTTCGTAACTCGCAATCTGGCAGATAGCGCGTGACATTTTGATGGGAACTGACGGAAGGTTTTTGAGATGTTCGGGTCTGATCCTGTCGGCACCAGGTGCTGTACGACTTTCCAACGATGAGATGGTGTGTCGGATTTCAGAAAGGAATTGAAGGCACATACCGCTAATGCACGTATCCGTCGTGCTGCAAGAGGTACGATAGCAGGTCAACATAGCTGTTAAAGAGATCACAGTAGAAATCGTGGATGACCTTCTCCATTGCCTCTGAGATGCAAGAAGTTGTTTTCCCGAACGGTCGGCATCGGAGACCCTTATGTCTCAGCATTTGGCCGAAGTCGTGCGGGCGCTGCGGTTCCTTCTTCTTACCTCTACGGTTCCAGCAGTACTGCCTGCTTCTGCTTTTTACCTGCTTTTCTGGCACTAACTTCCCAGCTCGGAACGTTCCTGGTATTTGCCTACGGCTCGGCTGGTCTCCGAGAATCGTCAAGAGTATCTAAAAATAGATGCTTCTTAGTAACCTTAAAATTCTCTGACTTTTTGGCGCAATCGTGGCTATACTTCACAAGCCGTTCGTGTTCCTCATCGATATTGTCGATAACGGAATCCTCCCAGAGCCCTGCGAAAGAAGTGAAGTGCGTTCGCATTAGATTCGGTCTTGGACATTCTGCTTCTGTGATATGTAGCGGTTTCTCTCTGCTCGCGTCTAGAGAGCGAAATCTGTGGCGAAGGAGATCCCCAAGGCGTAAAGCATTGGAAAAAACTCGCAGCCATGCGCTCGGAGCAAATCCTTGATTTGAGGTGGTAATGGTCTAATCTACGTTATGGAATTGTTCACCAGGAAACCCCTATGTCCAGCGTAGAAAATAGGGAAAGTAGGAACTGTGAATTGCATGGATGATATCGGTTGACATAATATGAACTTGTAATTTTCACTCCATCCCGAGTCCCAGTGTGAAGTTCTTCAGCCGTTCTTTCTTCGTTCGATATTCTCAAGCTTTTTGTTCAGCTGTAGAGCTAGGTCATTCATTTCATCGTACTAAGCATGTGCAGTAAGTAGCTGTTAGATTTCAATGGAGGCGAGTTGGTCTCAGATCTTGATAGATCTGAGATGGGTGGTCTCTCACTGGATAGAAGTAGAATGCTCTATCAATCGGGGCGTGCCATTCAATTCAAGAAAGGTCACGCCCACGGTGTCTCTATAGTACCTAAGTCCTAAATCCACACTCGAATCAGGAATACTACTTTCACAGGTATCAATCACCAAAGTTGATGCCATGTAAGTTTGTAACATTTCAGAGAAGGGCACACACACTGAGATGACGCTACGAATAAGCCAAAAGCGGGCGTCGGAAACTTGTTTCACACCAACCTGTGCCTGGCAGCTTTAGTGCTAACAGGCCTCGTCACAGCACAGATTCAATCATTCAGCATTCGCTCCGCTTGCACAATGTTTGGTGTTATCAGAACGATGTCGTCAGCAATGAAGATTACGAGGACTAATTAAAATAACCGAGACAAGTCAAAGGCTATGCACGCCAAGACCCTCAATCGTACCCTTGTATAGCCCCAGAAACGCTATAATGGTTAGATCATTGCAGTCAAGAATGATTACTAAGATTTAATCTCCTATAAACCAGTACTATTTCTTTTTACCAGGCTTTTAATAATCGCGGGTGAATGCGATGGAGAAAGGGACTGGAGGAATGAGGCTTACCCTTTCGCCACCGATTAATCCATCAGATAAGCGGCACGCTCAAGCAGGATCAGCGTTAATGGTATTGATATAGGTGCTGATTAAGGCCGACAGAACAACATATGGCGCACGGGCTGATCGGCGCTGACCTTTCTCACGCCCATTCAGACGCCCATCGGTCCGCGGTTCGCGCCACATTCAAATGAAACCCAGCGTTTGGCTGCGCTTGCAACATGTCAGCACTTGTACGATCGCGTCCAACACGATCACTCACTTGTTTGTACTTGTCACAACCTTGGTAATCTGCTCACTCTCGAAGCCATATTGTCCCTCGCTTTCTCTAGCAGTCTGGTACACTCTCACTGAACAGCAGTATTGCTTTGCCAGGTCGTAATTTGGCGTGTCCGCCAAGCTGCACAAAGTGCGGGAAAACGAGCTTCATTTGCAAATTGAACGCGGCCGTTGTCCAACCTTGCATTGGTTCTTATCCATTAATTAACGGGTTTTAAACGCTGGAGACACTGCCAGTCCTATATCTCTAAGTAACCGTGAGATTCATTGCGATTACATTTCCAATGATTGGTGTGACTCGTATACACTTTAGCATATCCTTCAAAGATTTTTCTTTTTCGGAAATCTAAAGAATATGCTTTTCGTTATTCAATTATTGCATCTGGAACATGCTCGGATTTTGTTAATCCATGTAAACATGCGAACTATTTATTTAGTGAAGACCTCTAGACAGGGCTAGTAGCATTTCGTAGGTTTAGAAGCATCTACAGGTGTTATAAATACTTGGCAAGATGCCCCTTACATGGAATTCGCCCCGTTCTTTCTTGTTATAAGGAGTTTTTGAGCGCAAACAAGTTTTCCTTACATTTTACGGGTAGATCCCTATTGCCGAACCTAGCCCAGCATTATGGTGTATAGCTCTTCTCTAGTAATCAAGGCGTTAAGCAAATCTGTCTCAAACAGTTTATATTGGGCTTGAGGACAAACGCAAGACTTAAAGAATTTTGGAAGTATTCCGGGCTGTACGCGACCGTGGCTTTGTTGTCTTATCAGCCGTTTTCCTACGCTTATCTCTGATCTCTGCCAAGAAATTTAAAATAATTTGATTGCGGGGTAGAGATCGTCTGTGTGGTCTAGTACATGAGGATGAGGCCTGCGAAGGGCGCTATGATTCATTCTGACGCACTGGTTTCTTTCTTTCGTTCAAGGAAAAAAGTTTGCACGTGCTGCTGTTAACCCTAATCTCTCAGTAATTTCCAAAGGAGCTATTTGAAGCTTCCATTTTGACTCAGTGCTCGTTTCTTTTAATCCCTCGGGGAAATTGATTGTTTACTCTTTCAGTTCGTCAAAAAAGAAGTGTGTTTGCGAGAAATGGCCCGTCGCAGACGTATGGTAAGAAATGATGGATCTACTGAGACGAATGGAGAAACGAGCTCTGGGTACGCATGTTCTGTCAATGTTTATTGGCCCGATATTGCACAGCTGTTGCGGAGATCGTATCTTGCCATTCGCGCCCTTTATCTGGTGGCACTAATAACTAGGCTATAAGCGGGCTGTGGACTGTAATGAAGGTCATAGTTTTCAAAGAAAGGTTCGAATAGCAATCATTTGATGAGGGCATTAGATATAGATGAACAAAATCCGAATTGAGTATAGTTAGCAGAGGAGTAGTCGTTTTCTTTGTAGAGGAATGGGCGGAAAGCTTTCTTTTGTTTCCACTAATATGCAGATTTTTTGAGATCCCTCTTTTAGGCCAGCTTCTTGGGACGCGTTGACCTACAAACGACCAAAGAAGTTAAAAGTACCTTGTGCACGTGTTGAAAGCGATGGCGAGTGGTTTCAAATCGAACGAGTTCTGGAGACGGTCTGCCTTGTTGGAAGTGATAAAGGATGGCAGAACCTGGTTTGTTCTCTGCATTTATTAAGGAATATAGTGCTTTAGGCAGATAATATCATAGGATTCCTGAATTTCATGGTTTAGTAGCCTTCTTGTTTTCTTGTTGAATGAAACTCTTCAAGATATTTATTTGGCAACGTTTCAGGCCTTAAGCCCTTCTTCAGGTCTACAATATGATATAATATCTATCGATTACCATTCAAGCATCATTTCTAGCTGAAGTGTACTAGAAACTATTGGACATACGAAATAAGCAACTAACCGACTATTAAGGCAAGTAGTTTTGGTCCAGGGGAACGGGGAACGACTTGCCTTTACGTGAATTCACATGGTTTCCGGGAAGAACCCGTTCCCCTGGACCAAAACTACTTGCCTTAATAGACAGTTAGTTGCTTATTTCGTATTTCCAATAGTTTCTAGTACACCTCAGCTAGAAATGATGCTTGAATGTTAATCGATAGTTACCATATAGTAAATACGTGTAGACCTGAAGAAGGGCTTAAGGCCCGAAACGTTGTCCAATAAACATCTTTGAAGAGTTTCATTCAACAGGAAAACTTTGGACAGAATTAGCTGGTTCATCGTTGCCTATTTTGGTATTCATGGTCCCCTGAATAGCGCTCACATTGCTAGTTCTGTCGCATAGTGGTGCGAGATCTTTCTAAGATTCTGTTAGTCCAGCTAAGTTTTTTTTACAGGTCTCCACTTTTTATCCCTTATTCATACTTCGCGCACTCTGTGTTTCGCGCAAAATGGGAGTCACGAAATGATACCTTTCTGCAAAATTGCGTATATATGTTCCCAAGCCAGAACTCCAGCCTATCTATATATCTTTTCGTTGTTTCCACCCGGTTAATAAAATATTGTGCTTTTAATGTATCAAATCCAACTATTTGACTTCTGTTTTGTTTTACAGGTGCAATGGAAACCGAACTGGTCAAAGCAAATCCACACTCCATCAGCTCTGAAAGATTTCTATGGTCGTGCCACCGTATTAGGTTGTGTGGTGAAGGTGAGTTGATCCTTTTTCCATTACAGTACTTGTTTTACTGTTGTATATTCTATCGTTACGCTTCCAGAACGAAACTTTGCGATCCAGAGTTCGTCGGAAGATTGAGTGGAATCGAAAAGAATTTATGAGCTGCAATTTCCGTATTCGAGTTGAGCATCCAGATGGATCTGTCACTTCTGAAGTGAGCTTCCTCTAACTTCTTACACCTTGTGATATTTTTTCAAAAATTTGTTGCTAGTCAAGACGCTTAGTTTTTTTCATATAAATAAAATCACCTACTAAAGGCAGTGAAGTTTTTCCTTGTAAACTTGAGAAAAGGGTCCATAAAGTTTGAGTTCGTTCATAGCAGCCCAACTTTATCAGGTTTTGCCTTATCCCGATGTAAAGCGCCGATTTCCTGCCGCATTGTTCGAATATATGGAAAATAGAATGCCTCCGCCCCGTATACCAGAGAAGGATGAACCGCGACCGGATGGCTTACTTCCAGTCTACAATAACGTAAGTCTATCCCCAGACTTATTGCAGTTTCCATACTGTAAGAGTCCGCAAAGAAATCTTTTTTCAGATTAATATTCCACGCTGTTTGTACCTGCACAAATGTGTGGCTAAGAAGGAGGAGAAGGCTCAAACGCCGACTTCGGATGTTCAGAATCCTCCGGCGGATCATGTCGAAAGTCTAACAGTTGTGAAGCAAGAAGTGTCTCCATCATCTTCACCAAAGAAGGACTTCATACAGGACGTATGTTCCGAAAGTGTTCCGCTGAAGGAAGGGTTCGACGTTCGAAAGAAAGCCGGTCTTAAACGAAGATCCAGTCGTCGTTTCGGAGCAAGGACCAAATGGTCTCGTAGTAGAAGCTTGAACGCGAGAGCTAGCGCTAACGAGCTGATTAGCTCTCCATCGACCAAGGTGCAGCAGCCGTTCAATGAAGTTTCAAATAGAGAAGAAGCCAGAGCCGCTCATACGAAGGTTACGATGCCCCCTGGAATATCTC